GATATTGGTAGTGGAGGTTATGTCACATAAATCAAAGCCTAGGGGCCCCTGGGGGTTTAGCCCAGCGGAAGGGCACCTGCCCGGCGTGCACAAGGCCCTGGTTTCAGTCCTCAGCCCTGGGAAAAAACAAACAAATCAAAGCCTATCAATGCATACATTATGAATGTATGTGGTTTACTGTATCAATTATATCTCAATAACACTTGTAGTCCCAGCTACTCAGTTGGCTGACAGGCTAACCCCTTCAGCCCAGGAATTCAAGGCCAGACGCAGGGAGTACACACTGAAGACAAAAGAAAATTTATTAATGAAAAAAATTCCCAGAAGGTGGCGCTGTCACCTCCTATGTGGTCTCTTGGGCCTTGGGAGCTGGCTCCCCTGGAATTGGGTCAGACCTTGCAGAAGGGTAAATTAACTAGAAAGCCCTGGGAAGAGGCCCCTGAGGTCAGAAATGACAAGGAGAGGTGATGGCAGTTAGGACTGACTTCACTTCCTTCCACCATCCCCAAACATGACGCTTGTCCTTCCATGTACAGCTGCTTTCTGCTTCTAGACGCCAGATCTGGCACAGGCTGGAGTCTCATTTAATGAACATGAAGTGCCTTTTCTGACTACCTTGGCTAAATTAATTCCTACCTCTCACCCTGTCCCGAAGTCACTTGGTGTATTTTTTTCTGCTTTATTTTCTTCACTGCATGTACCACAATTAGAAGCCATTTGGTAACTTTCTTGTTTTTGTTTTGTTTTTTTTGCTGGTCATAGGGCTTGAACTCTGGGCCTGGGTGCTGTCCCTCAGCTTTTCAGCTCAAGGCTAGCACTCTACCACTTGAGCCACAGCACCACTGCCAGTTTTTTCTGCTTATGTGGTGCTGAGGAATTGAACCCAGGGCCTCATGCATGCAAGACAAGCACTCTACCACTGAGCCACCTTCCCAGCCCCTTTCTTGTATTTTATTTTTGGGTCAGTTGTGGGGCTTGAACTCTGGGCCTGAGCGCTGTCCCTCAGCTCTACAGCTCAAGGCTAGCGGTCTACCACTTGAGCTACAACGCTACTTCCAGTTTTCTGATGGTTTAATGGAGATAAGCCCGGGCTGGCTTTGAACCGTGATCCTCAGATCTCAGCCTCCTGAGTAGCTAGGATTACAGGTATGAGCCACTGGTGCTTGGCTCAGGAGACTCTTTTTTTTTTTTTTGGTCCGGTCCTGGGGCCTGAACTCTGGGCCTGGGCACTGTCCCTCAGCTCTTTAGCTCAAGGCTAGCGCTCTACCACTTGAGCCACAGCGCTACTTCCAGCTTTTTTCTTTTTGCTTATGTGGTGCTGAGGAATCGAACCCAGGGCCTCAGGCATGCAAGGCACGTGCTCTACCACTGAGCCACCTTCCCAGCCCCCTTTCTTGTATTTTAATATTCCCTTCTCTTCCTCCTTCCTCTATGCTGTTAAGTGTTCCACCCAAATCTTTATTACTGTTAATACACTCGGTAACTCACAGGTGCCCTTACCATGAACTGGCTGAAATATGAGGGCTCTAAAGAAGAGTGAGGCTGCCAGGCACCAGTGGCTCATGTCAGTAATCCTGGCTACTCAGGAGGCTGAGATCTGAGGATCAAAGCCAGCCCTGGCATGAAAAGTCCCTGAGACTCTTATCTCCAATAAACCACTCAGAAAACTGGAAGTGGCACTGTGGCTCAAGCACTAGAACAGTAGACTTGAGCTGAAGAGCTGAGGGACAGCACTCAGGCCCAGAATTCAAGCCCCATGACCAGAAAACACACACACACACACACACACACACACACACACACACACACACACACACACACACACACACACACACACACACACACACACACACACACACACACACACACACACACACACACACACACACACACACACACACACACACACAGAGTGAGTGAGGCTACAAAATGCTGGCTTCCTTTCCTGAAGAAGACCGCACTCTGGGCTGCAATTTGTGCTCACCATCAGACCAAATAAGTTTACACCAAGACCACCACACTCTTGCTTTAGTTTTATTTCTGCTCTCCCCTGCTGCCTCACTCTTGTGAAAGCACTTCCCTTATAACTTTTCTTTTCAGTTGTGGGGGCCTGGGTTCTGTCCTGTAGCTACTTTGCTCTAGGCTGACACTATATCACTTGAGCCACAGCACCACTTCTAGCTTTTTGCTGGTTAACCGGAGGCAAGAGTCTCATGGAATTTCCTGTCTGAGCTGGCTTCAAACTGCGATCCTCAGATCTCAGCTTGCTGAGTCATTAGGATTACAGGCGTGAGCCACTGGTGCCCTGCTTCCCAGGCTCAGTCTTCAGAGCAATCTTGACTTGCAAGAATTCACCATTCTTCAGACCAGCATCAATCCAGTCTGAGGACAGTATTCCCAGGGTCTAACTGCCTTCCACTAGATGGAAGAATATGTACTTTACATGTACCGGTCCTGGATTCAATTCCAGCACCAAAAAAAAAAAAAAAGTTCTCACTACCAAAATGAGCCCTGAACCTCCTCTAATACACAGGACACAAATAAGTGCTAAATAAATTCACGACTTGAAGGCAAGGGTGAGCCAAGGGTCCATGTTTTTAACCACTGAGCTGTCAACGCCTCTTCTATCTTGGGGAGGCCTGGGGTTGGGCTGGAGGCATTGTGAGTCATAGCTAGTACACAGTTGCTGAGTGGTTCAGAGATGTGGTCAAACCTGGGACAGCAGCTTGGCACCCCAACCCATCTTCCAGGTGAGGCACACAAGCTGCAGATGTTGGGGAAGGGTTCTCTGGGCCTTGCTGGATGAGGATTCCAGAGATGGGAATCTAGTTCCCTCAACTAGATGGGGTGCCTGGGAGGGTACTATCCAGCCTCTGTCCAGCTGTGAGAAGTATGTGTTGAATTAAGGAAGGCGCAGTGGAGGTAACCCTGCCCATTATTTCTCTTTTCTATTTCTCTTTTCCCCCTCCATGGACAATAGAAGCAGCTCCTATTCTCATACAATAGAAACAGCCCTTACTAAGAGTGGTGTGAATAGACCAACAGAGAGAATGAAACTTGTCTATTTGCTATCTGGACTTCAGATCCCTTTTGGGTGTGGTCTGCTTAGAACAACGGTTAAACGGTGTGCACAGCACTTGTTTCTTGGAACCCTAAGCAATCCTAAGGTCTCAGCAAAGGTACATGCCCCAGGATGTCACTACATCTGTCTTCCCAGCTGGAAGAAAGATATTCAAGGAATATCCTTAAAGGCAAAAACAGGTTATGTTGTTCAGATCAGGGTCTGCCAGGGATCAGGTTCAGGTTCAAAGTTGTCAAATAACTGAATGATGGGAGTGATCTTAGTGCTGGTTATACTAGACATCCCACAATACTCTGCAGGCTCCCTATCTAACCTTGACTTTGGAATCCTCCCCAATAGAATGAAGAATCTGATGAGCTTGCCTGTTTGAGCACAAGGTGCGGTTAGGGGGCATGGCTCAAGGGATAGAACACAAGGTGCCCAGGTGCACACTTCTAGCTTCCTCTTGTGCTAAACCCAGGACCAACTCTACCCAAATTCTTCCACACATATGAAACACAAAACTCACCCCTATCTCCTATTACCCATGCCCATCGCAGCTAGACAAATCCTCCTTTACAAATCTACTTATCTTTACTACTGGTCTTTCTTCACCCTGGACCCTGTCCAAGGGCAGCAGCAATCCTAGTTTTGTTTTTTCCATTTTGAACTTTATTGCTGATCCTGGGGCTTGAATTCAGCACCTGGGCACTGTTCTTGTGCTGCTTTTTGTTCAAGGCTAGCACCTCTTATCACCTCAGCTACAGATCCACTTCTTGCTTTTTAAATTAAAAATTTTTTTTTTTAGTTTATTGGAGATAAAAGTCTCACAGACTGCTCAGTCTGGCTTTGAGCAACCCTCCTCAGATCTTAGCCTCCTGAGTATTACAAGCTAGGATTCTAAGCCTGAGCCACCAGCACCCAGAAATGGACTTTATTTCTTCCCTCTAAATTATGGCATATTCTACCTAGCACACAAACGGCTCATGGTGCAATTACAGTACTACTTGCTCACCTGTGAGTCTAGCCTTACTTTTTTTTGAGGGGTGGGGTGGGGTGGGGTGGTTCCTGGGACTCGAATACTGGGCCTTTTGCTCAAGTCTATTGCTCTACCACTTGAGCCACAGCTCCACTCCTGGCTCTTCTGTGATGAATGGATATTGTTAGTCTCAAAGACTTTCCTGCCCAGGCTGGCTTCAAACTGTTATCCTTAGCTCTCAGCCTCCTGAGTAGTTAGGATTACAGGCTTAAGCCATCTGTGCCTGTTTTGTTTTTCTCTGTGTGTGTGTGTGTTTGACTAGTACTTGGGTACTGGTACTCAGGGCCTGGGTTCCGTCCAGTAGCTGTTTTGCTCAAGGCTGACGCTGTACTTGAGCCACAACTCCACTTCTAGCTTTTTTACTTCTTAACAGGAGGTAGGAGTCTCATGGAACTTCCTGCCTGGGCTGAATTCGAATTGAGCTCCTCAGATCTCAGCTTCCCGAGTTGCTAGGATTACAGATGTGAGCCACTGGCGCCCTGCCGGTGCTAGATCTCTGACTATATCTGTACCCAGGGTCTGACTCCCCAAAGTGGTCCTTGGGCAAGCTTGAGCGTCAGGGTTGGCCGACCATCTACTTAACCCGGGCCTTGGCTTAGCAAAGGGGGGGCAGGCTGCTGACCCAGGACCATTTACTGCTCCAGCCGTCGGCCTCAGGCTCACCGGCATCTCTGAGGACACCGGGTGCAGCCTTTTGTGACCGCCCCCCTCCCTCCTCCTTCCATCCCCGCAGCTCCCCCGACAAGGCCCCGCCCATCACTCCTCGCCCTGGAGGCCTTCGAGTGCCTGGCTTGGAGCCAAGCCGCCGGCCGCCTGTGGGAACAGCTGCGGCAGTTCTGGGCGGACCACTTCTCGCGCCGTTTCCGGCCGCGACGGCCTCCGCTGCGCCGCATCTCGTCCATGTCCACCTTCTACCTGCTGGACCACCGCACGCGCCAGGCCGAGCTGGGCCTGAGCTACGGCGCGCCGCGCACGCGCCTCAGCGACGAGGCGTTCGTGTTCCGCGGGGGCCGCTGGGCCGCCGAGGGTCAGCTGACCCAGGCGCGGCCGCCACCAGCGCCGCCGACCCTCTCCAACTGGAAGCCGGCGCAGGTGCAGCGCACCAAGAGCCAGGTGCTGTTGGAGGAAAACAACTACCTGAAGCTGCAGCAGGAACTGCTCATGGACATGCTGACTGAGACCACGGCGCGCATGCACCTGCTGGAGAAGAAGCTCGACCCCGACGTCAGCCCCGCCGCCGCGGCGCGCGCCTGGCAGAGGAAGATGCGCAAGCGCGAAAACGCCAACGGCGTGCTCATGATCCAGCCGCGAGCGCTGGAGTCGCGGTGACGTAATAAAAAGCCCCGTGAGGCGCACGCGCGTCTCGCCCCTCGCCCCGGGGGTGGTAGTTGGAACGTCTAGGCTGCAGTGCGCATGCGGGTGAGGGCGGGGCGGCCTGCTCTGCAGGGACTGGGCTGGACCCTCGGGGGCGGCGGCGGCGGCGGGCTGGTGACGCTGACCTTGGCTCGGATGAGAGGGGTGGTGTGCGCGTGCGCGCTCGCGCTCCTCCACGGTAGCGCGCCACGCGAGTGGGGCGGGTGGCTAGCGATGGCCGCACTGGTCTCCTGCCGCAGGGAAGGGAGGGTGAAGTGGGCTGGGTCGGGATCCTCTTTGCTTTGTGCCTGGAGACACCTGAGGGTTGTTAATTAAGAGCCTTGGAGTTCCGACTCCTGCGAGATCTTTCGGGCCTGGACGGAAGCCTTCCCGAGACCTCGCGGGGTGCAGTAGCTGCGCTGGAGGCTGAGCTCTGGGGATCACAGAGGGGTTCCCGGCCAGCCTGGGCGCCAAGAGTCCCTGACTCTCATCTCCGTTTATCCACTCACAAGCCAGAAGTGGAGCTCCGGCTCCACCGGTGGGAGTTGCAGCCTTGAGGGGAAAAGCCAAGGGACTGGCCGTGCCCGGGCCCACCGCCCAAGTATCAACACGCACACACGCGCACACGCGTGTGGTAAATCCTGCAGGGCTTGGACCACTTTTCTGGGACTACCTGTGGAAGAAGAATGTGTGTTCTTTGTCCATCTTGACTTGCTTTTAGGAATAAAGCAGGGGTTACTGAGCCACTATTGGCCCATTAAATCAAGACACTATTTTCTTTTCTTTTGTCGGTCATGGGGCCTGAACTCTGGGCCTGAGCCCTGGCCCTCAGCTCTTCAGCTCAAGGCGAATGCTCTACCATTTGAGCCACAGCGCCACTTCATGGAGCTTCCTGCCCAGGCTGTCTTTGAACTCAGATCTCAGCCTCCTTGAGTAGCTAGGATTTGCAGGTGTGAGCCACCGGCACCCGGCTGCTTTGATATTTTAGTAATGTGTTTACATAACTCATTGTTATAAATGCTGTGAAATAAAATTTCCTTTAGAACTAAGAAATGGCTCTTGGGAATTTCTCGTTTCTAGAAGCTGAGCCATCTGGCATTTATGATGCCAAGTGGAAGCGGAAGGTGCCCCTCAGATGGGGGCTGGGCCCAAGCCAATGCCCACAGCTGTACCTTGGCAGCCAGGGCTGATGGTCCAGATGGTTCGGCTGCAAGTAGCTTGGCTGGGGACTCTGCTTCCAGGCACATTGGGCCATGTCATCACCGTGTGCTTCAGTGGAAGTGATCATGAGAGCTCTGAGGCTGACATCACTCATCAGGAGCCCTGAGGAACCCAGCCAGTGCAGCAGCGGCGGCAGCTGGCCTCCATCTTCACAGAAAACAGATGTGGGAGTGTACCCAGAACCAGCGGGACTCTAAGCTCCGTGAGTGTTGCAATGAGATGCAGAAACCATGCAGAATTTCATACAGATGGATTCGCCTAACCCAGAAGTTCACCTTGCAATGGGAAAATCTACTGGTCTTGGTTGGGTTCACACCTGTAATCCTAGCTACTCTGGAGGCTGAAATTTGAGGATTGCTCTTCAAAGCCAGCCTGAGCAGTACCAGCACAAACACAACAAAAGTGGAAAATCATTTCTGATGACTAAATTGTAAGAGGAATCCATTGTGAATAGCTGCATTGCATACTAGGGCCATGGAAGAGTTTCACTGAGGTGGTGTAGAGTTTGGGGCTGGCAAGTGTTTGTGTGACCTCCATATACCAGTTGGTTTTTGTTTTGTTTGTCAGTCATGGGGCTTGAACTCAGGGCCCTGGGCACTGCCCCTGAACTTTTCCCCTCAAAGCTAGCACTCTACCACTTTGAGCTACAGTTCCACTTCCAGTTTTCTTAGTTAATTGGAGATGAGTCTCACAACCTTTCCTGCCCAGGCTGGCTTTGAACTGCAATCCTCAGATCTCAGCCTCCTGAGTAGCTAGGATTACAGGTGTGAGCCACCAGCGCCCGGCTTGATGTTATTTTTAGTTAATAGAACTAAGTATTTTTCTTTTTCTTTTTTTTTTTGGTCGGTCATGGGGCTTGAACTCTGGGCCTGGGCGCTGTCCCTCAGCTCTTCAGCTCAAGGCTAGTGCTTTATCACTTGAGCCACTTCCAGTTTTCTAGTGGTTTATTGGAGATAGTAGTCTCATGGTCTTTCCTGCTGGGGCTCGCTTTGAACTGTAATCCTCAGATCTCAGCCTCCTAATTAGCTAGGATTACAGGCATGAGCCACTGGCGCCAGGCTTGAAGTATTTTTCTTAAAACAAAAACAGTAAGAAATTAGAGCATGAGGGGCTGGGAAGGTGGCTCAGTGGTAGAGCGCTTGCCTTGCATGCTTGAGGCCCTGGGTTCGATTCCTCAGCACCACATAAGCAAAAAGAAAAAAGCCAGAAGTGGCACTGTGGCTCAAGTGGTAGAGTGCTAGCCTTGAACTGAAGAGCTGAAGGATAGTGTCCAAGCCCAGAGTTCAGGCCCCAGGACAGGACTCCCCCCCCCCAAAAAAAAAAAAAAAAAAGAAATTAGAGCATAAGGGCTCATGATAGTAATCCCAGCTACTCAGGAGGTGGAGAGTGGGCTGAATCACAGCCACCAGTCTAGGCAAAAAGTTATTTGCAAGGGCTGGGAAGGTGGCTCAGCTGTAGAGCGCTTGCCTTGCATGCTTGAGGCCCTGGGTTCGATTTTCCAGCACCACATAAACAAAAAGGAAAAAAAAGCCGGAAATGGCGCTGTGGTAGAGCGCTAGCCTTGAGCTGAAGAGCTGAGGGACAGCACCCAGGCCCAGAGTTCAGGCCCCACGACTAGACCCCCCCCCCAAAAAAAAAAAAAGTTATTTGCAAGATGCCATCTAAGATCTGGGAAGGTGGCTTAGTGGTAGAGTGCTTGCCTAGCATGCATGAAGCTCTGGGTTCGATTCCTCAGTACCACATACACAGAAAAGGCCGGAAGTGGTGCTGTGGCTCAAGTGGTAGAGTGCTAGCCTTGAGCAAAAGAAGCTCAGGAACAGTGCCCAGGCCCTGAGTTCAAACCCCAGGACTGAAAAAAAAAAAAAAAAAAAGGAAATGAGAGAGGAATTAGAACAAAACATTAGGGGGAAAAATCAAGTACAGATGGCACTAATAAGAGAAACATACTCAGTGAGGGAAAGGCAAATAGCTACTCCATTATATCCAGAACTGGTAAATCCATAGACACCAGAGGGGAAGTTGCCAGGGATGGGAGGAGAGAGTTATTACTTTTGGGTGATGAAAAGTGTCTTGAAACTACACTGGTAATAGTTGCACAATGTTGTAAATGCACTAAAAGCCACTGAATTTTTTTTTTTTTTTTTTTAATTTTTGTTTTTGGGTCCGGTCGTGGGGCCTGAACTCTGGGCCTGGGTGCTATCCCTCAGCTCTTCAGCTCAAGGCTAGCGCTCTACCACTTGAGCCACAGTGCCACTTCCAGCTTTTTTCTTTTTGCTTATGTGGTGCTGAGGAATCGAACGCAGGGCCTCATGCATGCAAGGCAAGCACTCTACCACTGAGCCACCTTCCCAGCCCTAAAAGCCACTGAATATTTTTTAAAATGGTTACAACAATAAAAAAAAAAATAAGGAACAGGAATGTGTTCCACATAAAAACATGAAGTAGAAATTAATATGCAGCAAGATAAAATTCATAAACGTGACCCAATAATACTTAAAATGTGCAGAATGTTGTTTGGGCCAGATTACTTGCAAATAGCCACTAAGAGAAGAGAAGAAGGGGCTGGGAAGGTGGCTCAGTGGTAGAGCGCTTGCCTTGCATGCCTGAGGCCCTGGGTTCGATTCCTCAGCACCACATAAGAAAAAAGCCGGAAGTGACGCTGTGGCTCAAGTGGTAGAGTGCTAGCCTTGAGCTGAAGAGCTGAGGGACAGCGCCCAGGCCCAGAGTTCAGGCCCCACGACCGGACCCAAAAACAAAACAAAAACAAAAAAAAGAAGCAGCAGCTAGCCAGGGCAGCTCCAGGCAGCGAGGGCAGAAGCGCTGAAGCGCACCGTACGCATGCGCGCTGTTCAAAGGCTCTTACAGGGCCCAAATGACATGGGGCAAGATGGTATTTTGAGAAATTTTTGACTTAGTTCTTTCTGTTGGGGAATTTTTCTCCCTGGCTTTACTCCCTGTCTCTGGTAGCCAAGCTCGGCCCCGAGAGGCAGCCCAAGGGATAGAAGAAAGGATTGTGGCTGGCTCCGCCAAAGAATTCTATCCCCAAATTCTGGAGGGGAACCTTATTTTACTGCTGGTGGGAAGGTCCACTAATACAACCACTTTGGAAAGCAGTCTGGAGGTACCCCAGAAAGCTAAATATAGACCTCCTCTACCACCCAGACATACCACTCCTAGGCATGTATCCTGAGCAACAGGAGCCAGGATACAAGGACACATCCCCCCCCCCTCCCCCCCGCCCCGTGTTCATTGCAGCACTGTTCACAGTAGCCAAAATATGGAAACAACCCAGATGCCCCACTACTGATGAGTGGATCCCAACACTGTGCTACCTATATACAATGGGATATTATGCAGCCATTAGAAAGGACAAAATAATTGCATTCACAGGGAAATGGATGGAACTAGAAAAAAAAATCTTTTTTTTTTTTTTTTTGTCGGTCGTGGGGGCTGAACTCTGAGCCTGGGCGCTGTCCCTCAGCTCTTCAGCTCAAGGCTAGTGCTCTACCACTTGAGCCACAGCACCACTTCCAGCTTTTTTCTGCCTATGTGGTGCTGAGGAATCGAACTCAGGGCCTCATGCATGCAAGGCCAGCACTCTACCACTGAGCCAACTTCCAGCACCCTAGAAAAAATCATTTTGAGCTGGGTGCCAGTGGCTCACCCCTCTAATTCTAACTACTCAGGAGGCTGAGATCTGAGGATCTCGGTTCAAAGCCATCCCGGGCAGAAAAGTCTATGAGACTCTTTATCTCCAATAAAAATTACTAGAAAACCGGGAGTGGTGCTGTGGCTCAAGTGGTAGAGCGCTCCTCTTGAGCTGAAGAGTGCAGGGACAGCGCTCAAGCCCAGAGCTCAAGCCCCATGACTGACTGAAAAGAAAAAATCATTTTGAGTGAGGTAAGCCAAGAGCAAAGAGAACGAACGGCACATGGTCTCCCTGATGTGTGGAATTTTTTTTTTTTTTTTTTGCCGGTCATGGAGCCTGAACTCTGGGCCTGGGCACTGTCCCT